GTCGTCAACGAGGCCGCGGGCTACCAGGAGAGTGGGCACCTCCTCTAATTGCTGCGGAAAGCGATCCGGGGGAAGGGGGGGGGGGGCTGAAATAACATGGTCCGGGTCCTCCCCAGAGCAGGGCCAGAGCCTTAGACCGGCTGTCGGGGTGGTTTTTAGTGGAAACACCACATACTCCAGGCTCCTGCGTCTCCGAAGAGCTACTTATTTTTGTTAATATTTTACTTTTTAAGTTGCATGTAATCTTCCCTACATAGTATTAAATAAAGTCGCTCTTTTGTGTTGTACGCTTAGAACTTAAACTAAGCAACGGATTTTAAGGCGATTTTCACCAATAGAGAGAGTAATTCAAGAGGAAGGTTTATATGTATAATACATGCAATTATATATAGTGGAGAAAATCCGAGAATTTCAAAGATTTGTCCTCAAACATGTTTTTGCACTATGTTTTGCGCTTACATTGCAAACGCTGGTTAAACCTTACAAGATAGACCAAAATAATATACTACGGAATTGTATATATCAAAAAGATCTACAAAAAAGTCCGTGATGGTATATGTTAATCTCCTAAGTGACCCACAGTAACCATTTTTATCTTTTATATATTACAAAAAAATAATGGGTTATTTACGAAGTTATTTTAAACAACACATAATTATTCCTTATCTAATTTAATGCGTTAGATACATTGCGCATTTAATGTGGATTAAAATAGAAAAAAAAGGGTCCAACGGCTGTCGAGCCGTACGTTCGTCCCGGGTGGAAGCGGCGCGGGCACGCCGTCATCGCGGTGGTAAGACCCGTTAGGGAGGATTGGCTCGAGAGGCATCACGAGACCCTCTCATACCGACTGACGCAAGTGATCACTGGGAAAGGATGTTTCGGGGATCACCTGTGTCTGATCCGCAAGGAGCCAACGCCAGCCACTACTGCGATGGTCGGACCGTGGACGCGGCGCTCCACACGCTGGCAGAATGCCCGTCGTGGGTGGAGCAGAGGCGAGACCTCGTGGCGGCCATCGGAGTGGGAGTTCTCTCGAAAACCCTGATTGCAGCTCGTGCGGAGCGAGAGTGCGTGGAACTCTGCCATGTCCTTCTGGATACCAGGGATTTCCTTTCTAGGGTACACCTGGTTCCCCGACTACCTGGTACCTGAGACGGCGTGTGGTTTCAGTCGGTTCGAGTCCGACATTGCTACCGGTAAGTGGTATCCGAGGGATTCCGCACAGGAAAAAAAAAGAAAAAAAAGCGTAGCAGCGGCCGGCAACATTGGAGTGGGCCTTTAAATATTGCCTTTAAAGATTATGGTCCTATCATAATAATAGTATAATTACTCTACACTGACACCACACTAGTATTATTAGTATTTGTATTATTTAAATTGCACTCGTACGAAGCCGGGGCGGATCGATGGTGTCTTATATAACCCACATTGCCATGTTGTGTACACATATTTAGGAACATAGCTAAGATCGAAACTGTTAGTCTTAGCTAGTTATTAGACCAAGTATTGTGTTATATTCTGTTTAGTGTGTCTAAATAAAAATAACTATCTAGTAAAAATAACTAGCCTCATGATTTGGGTCAGTGTAAGTTAAGAAAATACAATTAATTAATTTATTTATTCGTACTTTATCAAGGCTCAGGTAAACTAACACTAGGCTTATTTTAGTGTCGTAACGGCTGACACTGAGATGTCCTCGGGGATCCAATAACAGATGTCTTGGCTTAGTGCCACCAAGTGGGACTGTACCTTTGTTATGTAATTACTATTGAGTAAGCTGTATCAAAGGTATTCCAAGAACCAAGGCCTACTGTACGACTATATTCTCCAAGAAGTGTAAGACGCCCACAATGTGTTTAGAATGGTCACCCATCCATAAGTTATTATGCTACAAGTATATGCAGGTTTGCTTAACTTTGCAATGTGCTGACCTACTCGGCTATCACTTACACATGAGCGTAATGTTATTATAATTTGCGAAATAATAATGTGGGAATCGCTTATAGGGAAAGCTTGACTTAATTATGTATTTAATTCGTTAAAAGCCATGATAAATCAGGTAGTCACTCAAAAAAATAAGAACAAGAACACATTTATTAACTAAATCTACCACAATTTATCATCACTGGTCTATATGACAGTACACAATATTGTGATTATTCATAAATTTGCCGGTTTCATTTTATTAATCGCTCACACTGCAATAAATATCTTCCGTAAATGTCTTAAGTATAATTAATGACAGTATTGTACTTGTACATTAAATTTGTGTCCAACAAACTCATATTTCCTTTGGAAAGTTACCAACATTCGTATCATGATTGTCACGCTCCAAAATGTTGTTGTCGTATCTTCAATGTTGTTTTGAATAAATAATGTAGCTTCTTGTTGTTGCGTTGGTTAGATTTCTTTTACTAATTTTGCCTATGGTCTAAGTGTGTTGATATTCTAAATTCTATGAATTATTAGTATATAATTTCGACTACTTGGATTAAGCGATGCTAGGTGGATTAATGGAGTACTTAATGGTGATTTTTTCCATGAATTCAGACATAACCTGGTAATAGTACTTTTCTTTCTGCATGAAACGCTGCCTAAATTCTGTGTTGTATCGTTTCAATTGGTACAAACGTTATTAATAAGTTACCGGATATTTTATTTACTACGCACAGCGTAACGTATTCCACTTGTTTGAAGCAAGTAACAATCATTTGAGTTTTTTTTTATGAATTTTGTGTTTTGTACGTTTACCAAGTAGGCTTAATTTTATAGGCTTGGTAACTATGAGCTCTGATCGTTTCTTAGTCTGGATTTTTTCTGATATTTCAAGGTTAACTATAAGAAATGTTAGCTTCAGGATTTCATTTGACCACTTTACTTAATGTATTCCTAAATACTTGTGCATATTACAGTTTTCCAGTACTAATAGTTTTAAAACTATATTGCGGATAAAAGAACGGATGGGCAATCAGACAAACATGTCGCAATTGTAAAAATAACTTGTTAGGAATACGAAACCCTAAAACTTGGCCTATGTAATTATAAATGAGTTAGCATTGCCTTTTAATATCATGTTTGTTACATGTGTATTTTTCTTAAAATATTTTTCCTAAAGTCCCACAATTTATTTCAACGGGATAAGGTTCATATTATATTCACAAACCAGGGAACCGAGAAAAAAAAATGGTACGTATTAACGTGGGCTTAACTACTTCAGTTGAGACCCAAGTTAAAGAAAATTTCATAAAAATGAAACCTGAGATATATTTTTCTGGAGCGTAACCGAAATTCAGAAGCGTATTAAATTGAAAGTCAGATCCGAGTACGTTATATTTCTAAGGAACATGAAAGTAGATTAGGTAACTACGGTCCCAAGATACATCCTTGAAGGACGTCAATATTATTGGATTTTTATTGAATGCTTAAGGCATGCGTGAAAGCCAAGGTAATCTAAATCTATCAATACTTATATTTAATTTTATTAGGATCCCAAAAATAATTAGAATTTTTGTTTCTAAAATTCTAACTTACGATAAGTTCAGTGACAGTTTATCAAATCACGTTCATGAACGTTTGATTTCATTTAAGGACAAAGGCAATTAAGATAAGTTAACGAAAAAGTTTCTATTTCGTTAACTTATCTTGTTAAGGCAAGGGAAAACTTTCAGTTCAATTCTGGCGACTGCGTTGAGTACCGTTTAGTTTAGAAGAAATAATTGCGGAAATAATATTAGAAACTACAACAGCTTTATTGTGATTTGATGTTTTAGTTTAAAGATTAATTTGGGTCAGTACTGTATTCATGACCTGCCACAACGCTTTCTTTTAAAAATTCATCACCATCATCACATAGAGGCAAAAGTCAACAGATGTCTAATTGCAGATTGCAGCTACTGAATGTGTTCCGTTATGTGAACCGTTTTTTACCCAAGATAAAAAGTGATAGCGTTAGATTCAATCTGATTGTTGCAACAGCCATTTATAGAGCCCATGTCAACCATCAGGGTTGACGAGGGCCTTATAAATGGGTCCAACCATATCTTTAATAAATATGAAATTTTATAACCAATCTATTACATTTTTATTTTGGTTTTAGAAAGAGATTAAATATTATGTGGCACATACAATTGGAATAAGGTGTTTCATGGGAAGATTTATTGCAAAAAAATATAATTTGAACACTAAATCTTACTACTAAATCTTATTAATTAACAGTAAAAAAAAAAAATACAATCATATGAATGTCCAAGATCATTTAACACTGAAAGAAATAAATTTCCTACTGATAATATAACTAAATACCTTAGCATTCCAATGTTGGCCCGTTTGAGTATACTAGATATCATGTGGTCGTCGAATTTTGACCGTTTTGAATGTCTTATTTTATTTCATGTGGCCTCATAAACCGAGCGCTTGCTAAAGTCACCTGCGTTGTATCATTTCTTTTATTTATGACCTGCACAAAACCAATACACCTCTCGATACGATGGGTATTATCGGCCATAAAAATAAGCTAACGATGGGTTCCCAAAATAAGCTAACACTTGTAGATTTGATAAACATTTTAAAATATTCTAAAATAACTATTTTTTTAAACATACCAAATAGTGTCTATGCTTGCAATAGTTAGTCCAATAGTTTTTTGTTTACTGTATAATTCGTACTCATGTAATCAAAAATACATATTCCTCCATACAATTATTTACAGTTAATGGGATTCAATCTTGCATACACGCACATTGAGATTTCATACACAAATGCAGCACCACACAACTGAATTATTGGTAGTTATTACCTCATTAGTGAATAAAGATCCTGTTAAAAATATATTCGATTCTGAAATTTGATTGCAAGTAATTTGATTTGTCCATGTGTAAAATAGATAATTAGTTTTATGTTGGTGACTTTGTAATCAACAACTTGTTTATTTTTGTCTTCAGATGCCAAGACGACTTGCCAGATGAACTCTATGGCTCCAAATTCCTGGGGCTGACAAGATGACGTCGGCTGGTCTTTTGGTCTTCTGCTCCGTGCTCACAAGGACGCTATGCGTTATTGCTCCACAGATACCAGGTACTTTGTCTCGCATTTTATTAGAATGTTGAAGATGTAGTGTAAAAATCCCACTGCGATCGCATTCGCTTCAAATTTATAATTCTATATTTCGGAAATTATGAACTTAAGAAGTTAGTGGTCGAACCATGCCAAGGATTGAATTTTAAGCCTGGTGTGAGATGCGTGTGGCAAGACTTTTTTTTTCTAAGATCAAACTAAAATCGAATATCCTCCCAGTGTTCCGTCATCAAATCTTTGCTGGGGCCTCAAATATAAATCTCTGTGAACCCTGTGACTAAGACAATGCCATATTATTGGTAAGAGCCATTTACAGGCCAAAAGAAATATACGTACTACCAAATTAACATTATTCAAAATATTCATAATAATTTAGAAGGAGTAAAAAGAAAACTACAGCGAGAAATAGACACCTACCACACACAGCTTTGCAACACCCAAAGGTTTGGCCGGGTAGAAAAGGAGAGGCATTAAGTCCGTCTTATGCAATATGTTTGCAAGAAGACTCAATAAATAAATAAATAGACAAGTAGACATTTGATCAATTGAAATTAATAGATAATTTAAAATCATAGATTGTACGGTCAATAATAATAAAAAAAGTCATTTTCAGCTTATATTCAAAGACTATTTGATAGATTTGTAAATAAGTAGTTGAAAAATAATAATATTTCTTTCACTTCAAAAATTTCAAAGGCAGTCCTACCGCAATAATCGGTTTCTGAAAGACAACCTTTGCATGATTCTTATCGTGAGCAGCTAATTTATGATGCACTCGAATCTATTCAATATCGGTTTTGAATTAATTAAGTTTGAAAATGCAAGTCAAGTTTGAATCTAGAATAACTTTGAATTTAAATTAATTTCGGCACTCACTTTAAATTAAATTAAATCAACATCTGTTAGAGAGTTGTTAATTAAACTTTGTGAAAACGTTATTAAGACATTTAAAGGAGATAGAAAAGTTTTGAAATTAAACTAGTAGCTTCAAAGACACGATTAGACTGACGCTATCAACGAAATTCAGGATTCGAATCCGGGAAAGCGGTACAGGCTTGTACTATTTCAGGGAAATGTTTTACGTTTTCTTTTAGACAGCAACATCACCGTTATCAACGTCTTTTCCCAATTGTATTTTGTGGTTGATTAGATGCCTTACATTAAAAAGAGTTTTAGCTGCTTTATAGGGTTCCGTAGATCAATACAAAAAAAAATGGAACCCTTATAGGACCACTTTGGTGTTCGTCTGTGTGTCTGTCTGTCCGTCTGTCAAGACCAAGATCTTGGGAACGGATAGAGGTATCGAATTTTTTACAATTTTCAATTTTCGAAAGGACGTCAAGATGAAGAAACAAATGACAGTCTCGCAAATTAAGAAGAAATAAATTCTCTGAGTTCTATTTTCGAAATTCCTTAATTGTTTTTTCATTCTTTTATTGTAAGTGGCTAAATCCAGAGACTTTCAGTTTGCCCCACGTATAAGTATTGTATCAGTCGATCTAGCTATCACAATACAAGATCTGCTTAGTTTGAAACTAAATGGCGTTATGTGTTAGATGTCCGAAATATTATTATTAATTTGTTTTTATATAGTCCCTTTATATTATCTTAAATTTGTACTTTCTATGCGTAAGAATATTTCTTTAATTTATTTTCTGAATAAAAACAAAACGAGCACTTAAAGAGGCAGAAAATAAAGGAAAAGCCGGATTCTTAGATATTAACACAACAAAAGAACTTAACGTTGTGTTAGTAACATTTACTTTTGTCCAAATATTGTACAAAGATAATATTTATATAGCAAAGGAGGATTATTTTAGGATATCATGTTATGTGTGCGGCGTACCAAAAACGTGACTTATATTTAAATCCATTACTTAACGTCCAATTGCGATATAGGGTTTAGAATTCTCGATGCTTGATGATTTTTGTTCGCTAGTTAGTAAAAAACCGTAACTTTAACGTTCTGAAAATATTTTGCCATATATTATAGTCGTGATGGTCAATTTTCTAAGTTTCAAATATAAGTGAACGAAATTTAAGTTCCGTTGGTGGGAAATAATACAACTGTTCAATAAAAACAAGATATGTATTCTCTGAACAGTTCTGGTTGTTATTTATAACAACATTTTTTCTTAAAACTATTTATGGTGTCGCAGTGAACGAATCCATATCGCAATTCAGCATTACCTAACAACGCAATCTATCGGTTTTGAGGTTAAACAAAAACAAACAAAAACTTATCTTTAGACTTACACGACACTTATGTTAACTTACATTATTTATGTTATCTATATTCTTTGATTGTAATAATATTTGGTGGTTTATCTGGACAATAAGTTTGCAATATAAAACATATTTTTAAATGTGGTTTAACTAGCGACTTTCAGAGTTAAAGAGCTTTTACATGTACTATGATTGAATTTTGTTATTCGATGTCAACGGAAATGATTTGATTATAAAATACTGTCCGTGTAGTGACGGATTAAGAATACGGAATGTCACTACCCCAATTCATCCCGTGGGTGTCGTAAGAACCGACTAAGGGCGCAAAACAACGCAGGACACTAGCACTGCAAAAAGACGGAAAACTTGACAAAAACCTTTTTTTTTTTTTAACGTGTGGAAATCCCCTCGGACCGTCACCCCACCGGGGTTTGCGGCGGGGTGGTGTGTCGGACTCGGACCGACTAAAACCACACGGTGTGCCACTCTGCGCCTGTAACAGGAGGGATCCGATAACAGCTGTTATTAAGACATCCGGACCCCTCCTAGCGCCAGCCCGCTCCTGGTGCGGGCTCCGTCTCAAAATTTTTCTCTCTTTAGGCGACGTCCGGCACACGCGGACGCCGCCCCCTCGCGGCTGGCCAAACTAATGCGGGTGGAGGGGAAACCCACCCCGTCCACCCTCGGCCACACTCAGGGCGGCATGAGGCTCGCCGGCGGCGGATCGGGTCCGAGTGGAGGTCGTCCTCCCGGGCCTTCTCCGCCGCCTCCTTCTGCGAGATTACTTCCTCGCAGAAGGTTGCGACCGCGGTAAAACAACTGTCGCTACCGGCCATGAAGCGTACTACGGCCGGTAGCGAGAGATCCACTCCGATGACTGCAGTGAGGGCCCGGCGCTGCGTCGCCCATGCGGGGCAGACCGCCAGCGTGTGCTGGGCCGAGTCCTCACTGCAGTCGCAGTGGTGGCAGGCGGGACTCAGTTCCCTCCTAGCGACCGAGTGCAGGTACTTTCCGAAGCAACCGTACCCAGAAAGCACCTGCGTCAGCCGGAAGGAAAGGGTCCCGTGCTGCCGCCCTGCCCACTCGGCGATGACCGGCTGGAGAGCCTCCACGGCGGCGAAGCCAGCGCGTGGAGTCTCCAGCCGGAACGACCAACGAGCCATCGTGGCTCGGCGAGCGGCTTCGCGCCACTCGCGCACATCCTCGGGCGGAGGGCGAAATCCGCTCTCCGCCCGGAAGTCAGCCACTCGCCGATAAACTTCGGCGAGCACTTCCGCCTCCAAATCCCACGGGGGAGTTCCGGCCAATGCGCATGCCACCTCCGTCGAAACGGTGCGGTAACCGCGTATGGCTCTGACCGCCATTACCCTCTGAGGGCGCCAGAGGCGTACCCTATTCTGGGCGGTCAGAGCCGCCGCCCACACCGGTGCACCGTACAGTGCCATTGACCGGACAACCCCCGTGTACAGCCGTCTTGTCGCGACGCTGGGTCCACCCATATTGGGCAGAAGTCGCCCTAGGGCGGACGCAGCGCCGACCAGCTTTGGAGCAAGCTGTCGGAAGTGCTCGTCGAAGAGCCACCTCCCGTCGAGGATCAGGCCCAGATATTTCATCTGGGCCCGAACCGGTACGAGGACCGAGTTGACCACGATTGAGGCGCCAGGGGGTGGACCACGACGGGGCCCATGAAATAACATTGCCTCCGTCTTATCTAGGGCCAAACTTGACACAAACCCTATACCAACCCGCCAGCGTGGTATATTAGGCCAAAACCTTCTTTCTAAGGAGAGGCCTATGTCCAGCAGTGGACTATTAAAGGCTGTTGATGTGTGATGTGATGTGATAAAATATTTAAGTATATCTAAGAATTAAATGATCACTCTTGATTGTGGTAGCTTAGACGCTTGATTTTTTTTCAGTTTCAAGGCAATTTAGTTATGAGTTCTTTATGTTAATTTCTTCTTCATATCTCCACGACTCAGGCACTCTTACAGACAGAAATAAAGACCACGAACTGAACTTATAGGGGTTCCTTTTCTTCTTTTGAGAAACGATAAGATACATAAGAAACTGAATACAGAAAAAATAATATTTAATAATGTATTTTAAAGACATCAAGTTGTTTTTACTTAGACTTAGTAAGTTACTATATTATTGGAAATGTCATAAATTTTATATTTGCAAACGATTTTTTAATATTATGTTTAGAGACATCGGTCTAAAAGTCAAGGTATATATATAAAATATTCAATAATTTATTATTCACAAGAAGAGTTTACATATTAATTAATTATTATACACAAATATTTGTATATTATGAAAAAGACCTAAATATTTAACCATAAACTTCCTCAAACACCAACAAATCTATTGAAAGATGTTGTTGTCAACATTAATTCAAAGTCAATTTTCTCGCTTGCTTAAGTCGTGTCTCGGAAATCCAAAAGTTGATGTTATACAAAACAAGCAAAATCTAAAATAAGAAAAGTATTGCAGGCGGTGCCAGCTTACATCGTTCACATAAAGGCAAGAAGATTTCTTGTGCTAGCGACACGAGGCAGAAACTTACTTATTAAAATTGTTAGTGGTAGAACTGTGTAAATAAATTAGGACAATATCACGATGTATATACTCGTAAGTATTAAATTGCAAAGTCTATAAGGATAACGATAAGTCATATGTACAGTTAATTACTTTTACTCGACTTGAGTTTTAGCAGATGTTTGTGATAAGTTTCGGATTGGGTCTGAAAAAACTGATTAAGTTCTTTTCTA